AACTGTTTTATATTGATTAAAACCAGTACAAATGCCGGCATGGACAGTGCTAATTCAATTCAAGCTTGGCTTAAATCAGCCAGGAATCAGTTTCAGCGACCCCAATATAAACCAGGGTGAGATTCAACTAGTGTCACACAGGGGGTTGCACTGGTTTAATCTGCATCCATTCAAAGCCCACAACTTGGCGACAGCCCCAGCCCTTGATGAGCTCCTGTTGGACCCAGGAGAGCTGCAGAATGCCCTGGTCACGTTGTAGCATCACACTGACATTAATAAATGCAGCCCTTGCGAGCACAGCTTCTGGCGCCCTCTGAAAACGCATCACAGCCCCACACAGCATCTGCCGTCAGAAGAACCAACGGTACAAAACGTGAGACGAAAGAGTGCTAGCAAATGTTAATGCAGGAACGAGCGCCTTGCCCAAGCTCCCAGTGCCTGGCGCGGAGCTTGAGCTTCCAGCCGCGGCTCTGTTTGCAAGGCCCCAGCACTGCAGCGCCTGTGTTTGGAACAGCTCTCACCGCGTTTCCTGACCCGGCATCCAACCACCTTCTGCGTAAGGAGTCAAGTGTTTCTGTAACTAACGCTAATGCTGACTCAGCCTCTTAATAGTCCTTTGCTTCGCACTGGCTCTGTGTTGGACTCTGTCCAGCGCAGGGGGACAGGCTCTGCCCAAGGAGCTGACAGTCCCTCTCTCACACACACGCAGGCGCAGGATGCCGTGGGCACCAAAGGGTGGGAAGGATTTCGGGTTTGGGAGTCTCCTCCCGCAATTATAAGAAATGGATTCAGTAACACCATGTTTCTACCATTATTTACAGGAGCCCCCCGCCAGTGGCACTGGGTCAGTCAGGACACCAGGATCCTGTCCCCTAGGCTGGCACAAAGTTGCGCCTCCTATGACTTCTCCTTTTATACATTGATACAAACTAGGTACGTATCACACTCCAGATGTTGTGAGTTACCACCCTTCTCCGTGTACCTGCTAGTTCAAACAAGACACCCTTCTCCATTATCCTGCCATTCCCTCCTTATCTTACAAGGGGTCAATGTGTTCAGTGCCACCTTGTGGGAACTTGTTTATGTAGCGACCTGAGAGATATGTGTGCTTTTGTACCACCCTTTCCAGTCTGGAATGTGCTGACTTGGTGTTAGCTAACACAACATAAGAACAGCCCTACTGGGCCAGACCAAAGGTCCATCTAGCTCAGTATCCCGTATTCCGACAGTGGCCAGTGCCAGGTGCCCCAGAGGGAATGAACAGAACAGGGAATCATCAAGTGATCCATCCCCTGTCGTCCATTCCCAGCTTCTGGCAAACAGAGGCTAGGGACACCATCCCTGCCCATCCTGGCTAATAGCCATTGATGGACCTATCCTCCATGAATTTATCTAGTTTTTTTAATCAACCCTGTTATGGTCTTGGCCTTCACAACATCCTCTGGCAAGGAGTTCCATAGGTTGACTGTGCGTTGTGTGAAGAAATACTTCCTTTTATTTGTTTTAAACCTGCTGCCTATTAATTTCATTTGGTGACCCCTAGTTCTTGTGTTATGAGAAGCAGTAAACAGCACTTCCTTATCTACTTTCTCTACACCAGTCATGATTTTATAGACCTCAATCATATCTCCCCTTAGCTGTCTCATTTCTAAGCTGCAACGCACCAAACAAAAACTCTAATCGACGACCCGACTGGGCAAGTGCCAGGCTTCTGCTCTCCGCAGCACGTCTGGCCAGCTCCCAACGGTGTCAGCACCTGACACGGAAGATGAGCATTGTAGTGGTGGTGCAGTCAGCCCTCCCCGTCTGGGCCGGAGGGAGGCCACACCGCCGCACTACATGCATAATTACTCCATAGATGAACGTGAGAGAATTGCCGAACCGTGCCCGTGGAGTGCTGCAAACTGTCAGGCAAATCAGGGATGACTGTCCAATCTAGGCGAAGATCAAGAATGAGCTCTCAAAACTGGAGACTCTCATACAAAACCAGCCTTCCACACAAACTTCCACGTGGCTGGACTTTACAAAAACGAGACAAGCCATTTACAACGCACACTTCACTTCTCTACAGAAGAAAAAGGACAGTAAACTATCTAAATTCCTACATGCCACAGGGGGCTACAACAGTGGTACCCTCAACTCACCTAACAATATTGTTAATCTATCCAACCACACACTTAGCCCAGCAGAAGAGTCTGTCCTATCTCGGGGACTCTCTTTCTACCCCACCACCCCCACGAACATGATACAGTTCTGTGGTGATCTGGAAGCCTACTTTCGTCATCTCCGACTCAAGGAATATTTTCAACACACCACTGAACAGTGCACTGACCACAGGAACCCTCCTACCAACACTGCAAAAAGAATTCTGCGTGGACTCCTCCTGACGGTCGAAATGACAGACTGGACTTCTACACAGAGTGCTTCCGCAGACGTGCACAGGCTGAAATTGTGAACAAACAGCTTCACTTGCCCCATAACCTCAGCCGTACAGAATGCAACACCATCCACAGCCTCAGAAACAACTCTAACATCATAATCAAAGGGGCTGACAAAGGAGGTGCTGTCGTCATAATGAACAGGAGGCTGCCAGGCAACTCTCCAACACCACATTCTACAGGCCACTATCCTCTAATCCCACTGAGGAATACCAAGAGAAACTATACCATCTGCTCAAGAAATTCCCTGCTAGAACACAGGAACAAATCTACATGGACGCACCCCCAGAGCCCCAACCAGGGGTATTCTATCTGCTACCCAAGATCCATTAACCTGGAAATCCTAGATGCCCCATCATCTCATGCATCAGCACTCTTACAGACGGATTATCTGGCTATTTGGACTCTCTCCTCAGACCCTACGCTACCAGCACTCCTAGCTATCTTCAAGACACCACTGACTTCCTGAGGAAACTACAATGCGTTGTTAGATCTTCCTGAAAACACCATCCTGGCCACCATGGATGTAGAAGCTCTTTACACCAATATTCCACATGAGGATAGACTACATGCCGTCAGGAACAGTATCCCTGATGAGGCCACGGCACACCTGGTGGCTGAGCTTTGTGACTTTGTCCTCACCCACAATCATTTCAGATTTGGGGATGACTTATACCTTCAAGTCAGCGGCACTGCTATGGGTACCCACATGGCCCCACAGTATGCCAAAGTTTTTATGGCTACTTAGAACAACGTTTCCTCAGCTCTCGTCCCCTAGCGCCCTTCCTCTACTTGCGCAACATTGATGACATAATCACATGGACCCACGGGAAGGAGGCCCTTGAAGAATTCCACCTGGATTTCAACAATTTCCATCCCACCATCAACCTCAGCCTGGACCAGTCCACACAAGAGATCCACTTCCTGGACACTACAGTGCAAATAAGTGATAGTCACATAAACACCACCCTATACTGGAAACCTAGTGACCGCTATACTTACCTACGTGCCTCCAGCTTCCATCCAGGATACATCACACGATCCATTGTCTACAGCCAAGCCAAGATACAACTGAATTTGCTCCAATGCCTCAGACAGAGACAAACATCTACAAGATCTTTATCAATCATTCTTAAAACTACAATACCCACCTGGGGAAGTGAGGAAACAGACGGACAGAGTGAGACGGGTACCCAGAAATCACCTACTACAGGACAGGCCCCACAAGGAAAATAACAGAACGCCACTGACCATCACATACAGCCCCCAGCTAAAACCTCTCCAGCACATCATCAAGGATCTACAACCTATCCTGGAAAATGATCCCTCACTCTCACAGACCTTGGGAGACAGGCCAGTCCTCGATTATAGACAGTCCCCTAACCTGAAGCAAATACTCACCAGCAACTACACACCACACCACAGAAACACTAACCCAGGAACCAGTCCCTGTAGCAAACCTCGTTGCCTACTCTGTCCCCATATCTACACTAGCAACACCATCAGAGGACCCAACCACATCAGCCACACCATCAGGGGCTCATTCACCTGCATACTAATACTAATGTGATATATGCCAGCCTGTGCGAGCAATGCCCTTCTGCCATGTACATTGGCCAAACCGGACAGTCCCTACGTAAAAGAATAAATGGACACAAATTGGACATCAGGAATGGTAACACACAAAAGCCAGAGGGAGAACACTTCAATCTTCCTGGACATTCTGTAACAGATTTGAAAGTAGCTATACTTGAACAAAAAATTCTTCAGAAACAGACTTCAAAGAGAAACAGCAGAACTAAAATTCATTTTCAAATTTAACACCATTAATTTGGGCTTGAATAAGGACTGGGAGTGGCTGGCTCATTACAAAAACAGCTTTGCCTCTCCTGGAATTGACACCTCCTCATCTATTGTTGGGAGTGACCTACATCCACCCTGATCGAATTGGCCCTGTCAACACTGGTTCTCCACTTGTGAGGTAACTCCCTTCTCTTCATGTGCCAGTATAATAATGCCTGCATCTGTAATTTTCACTCCATGCATCTGAAGAAGTGGGGTTTTATCCACGAAAGCTTATGCCCAAATAAATCTGTTAGTCTTTAAGGTGTCACCGGACTCCTGGTTGTCCAATCTATGCTCATCCTGGAGGCATTAGAGCCATTCACATGGCTACCCCCTTGGCTTTGGATAGGATAAGAGACCTTACGATCCAACTGTAATCCTGCCGTTACTTTTACTGGTTCACTATCACCATACAAAAGAAGAAGAATCCCACCTAGTGTGTTGTTGTTCTGCCCAGGCAGGCCTGCTCTGGTTCACAGCCTTTGTTCACACTGCTAGTTATGCCTAGGGCTCCAGCAAGGCCTACACGGGCTACTGCAAGCCCTGCTCTTTCCCTCTGCAGGCTACAATTTACACACCCCACCTTATCACATGCAAGTGCCCAGTCCCTTATCTTCTGCACACGCACAATGTACACCCATTCGCTGCTTCTCTGGAAGCAGCGCACCCCCGTTTACTGGCATCGCTTCAGTTCAACACAAGGCACCTAGACGTGTCTACAGTAAAACCGGTTTCAGTTTATTTAACAGAGCTCGAGTTACAGATTCAAATAAAAGCAAGGAAACATGAGGTTACAGGTAAAAGAAAAACATAAAACGTAATCTAGAGCCTGGACTTGTTAACAAGTCCCTTTCCTGTCTAAGAAGGCATTTGTCATCCAGTGGCCAGGGTGTCCAGCGCTTCTCCAGTCCAGAGCACAGGGACCTACTTTTCAGGAGACATTCCCGTGACAGAGTCCCCTCTGTAATGGATAACATCTTGTGCCCTTTCTTCTTCTCTTATACACCCCCAGACTTGGTCTCTCCTCATTACCTGCAGCTCAGCCCTGAGGGTCCCCATGGCAGTCTCTCTTCTTGGGGTTCTTTTGTCTTTGTCAGTGCTGTGGCCTGGATCCTGTCCAGACTGTAAACACAGGTCTGAGCTGGGTCGGAAAGCACTGACTGGCCTCACTCTTGAGTTTGCCAAGACCCATCCCACCACAGGTGATGTGCTTCTGCCCCAGTTGTTGTGGAACACAATATTTGACATTTTACATCTCAGAATATTTCCTGTACAAACGTCCCGCAAGACCCATGGCAATCAGCTGGCTTAGCTCAGCAGTGACCACACACGACCCACCCTCCCTTCGGCAAAGCACTGAGAAGCTGGTAAAGCCACAGGGGTAACATGCGAGTCTGGGCACGCCAGCATCATAGGCTCGTACTTGGCCATTCTCTGCAGGATGCCAGCAGCTACCTCCTCCCCCTGGGTATCCCAAGCAGCCGCCCTAGGCCACTGCTCATCTCGCAGCTCTCACTCCCCAGGTGGGAGCACTGCCAAGAGGGCTCAGGACTAGGGCTTTTCGGCATGAGCTCTGGGTTGGGAACCCTGGCTCCTTGGCCTGCCGGTGCACACAGCCCTGGTCACACCTACCCACAGACTGCAAACACTGGTTAGCCTGGAGGGCACTCCATGGCCTCATTTCTCCTTATGTCACCCTTTAAACAAGAACAAGTCTTCTCCCAGAGCCATGGCTGGCTGCATCCATGCAGGTGAAGGGGCCTGCCCGGAGCTCTGCACAGCTCCTCTCCTGACTGCAGTCACCCGTCAGTCCACTATCCACGTGCTCAGGGCCAAGCACCCTGTCTGCTGCTGGCCCTGATCCTGGCCTCGCACCCCACACTCCGCCTCTGTGCCAGTATTGATATGGCCTTGGCCCTCACTGCTGTGCCAGGGCACAAGGACTACAACCAGCCTTCCCAGAGCTAGGCGCGCTCCGCGCCCTGGCCTTCCCGCTCCAGCAGGCTGGTACCGCCGGGGCCCCTGCTGTCTGCACTGGGGTTCTGAGGGTACGCCCTTTGCTTTGTTCCAGGGCCCAGTGGACTCCGGAGGGCTCAGTGCGTCCCTGGCGAGAGCTGAGGTTTGTGTCAAATGGCCAAAGACTTGCAGTACAGAGATAAAATACCTCCCGCACAGGAGTGCCCCTTCCCCTCCTAGCTGCTCACCCCATGCCCCCATGCAGCCAGCATGTAGGGACCTCAGCGTCAGGCCTGGGGGGCGGGAGTCCGGGGGCAGCTCCACCGGCCAGGGAAGCAGCCTAATGCAGCGCGCCCAGCCTGCAGGCAGGTTTGGGGAGAGCAGCAGGGAGGCCAGCGCGGGGACTTTCGAGAGTGGTAGCAGAGGGACTGGCACAGCAGCAGGAAGTTTTCGAAGAGCAGGGGGGTTCCAAGCAGGGGCAAGGGGAAAGTTAGAGGGTGCAATGCAGCAGGGAGGTTAGGGGCAGTGGCAACAGGAAGGCTTGGGGGTGCAGTGGGGGGCGCAGCAGGGCTGGAGGGCAGGGTCAGTGCCCTTCCTTATCTCGCTTTCCCCGAACTCCATGTGCTGGTCAAAGAGCACCTTGTGCTGCTTGATCTCCTTCAGCACCCGCAGCACCTCCGGCCCCACGGCACCGCCCTCCAACAGGTTATAGTTCTCTGCAGGGTCAGCCTCCAGGTCAAAGAGTAGTGGGGGCTCATGGGGCGTCAGGGGCGCTAGCCCATGGCAGTCCGGGTCAGGGGTCGTCCCGCTCTGTAAGGAACCTGGGAGACAAATGCAAACAGCTGAAGCCACCTTCCCTCAGCCTGGGTCCCCAAAGCTGGACTGGAACCACAACCAGAGCCCTGACAAGGATGCAGGTCCCCCATTCCGCCCCCAAGGAGGATGCTACCTTGTGTGAAGAAATGGGCCTTGTGCTTCCCGTATCTGATGGCAAAGACGCCAAGCTGGTTGCTGGGGCTGGACGGGTAATAGATCATCATCTGCCGCGGACTCTGTGTGAGCAACCAGAGGCAGAGTCATATGGGGCCGTGGCCGAGCCATGTATAGGGAGGGAGGGGCAGTGGCTAAGCCATGGCCGGGCCAGTGGCCGTGGACAGGGAAGGAGACAGGACAGGACAGGAGCCAGTGGAAGGAGATGGGATGTGGTGGCACCGAGCCATGGCGGGGACAGGCCAGGTGCCAGGCCAGTGGCCACACAGGGGGAAGGAGACAGGCCAGGCCAGGAGCCGGGCCAGTGGCCATGGACAGGGAAGGAGGGGGACAGGCCAGGTGCCAGGCCAGTGCCATGCAGGGGGAAGGAGACGGGATGGGGTCTCAGAGGCCAGGCTCTAGCCCAAGCCGAATGTCTACCCTGCAGTGCTAGAGCTCCGCAGCCCAAGCCCCAGGAGCCCGTGCCAGCTGACCGGGGCTCAGACTCGGTGCTGCATTGGTTCCTGCAGTGAAGACGGCCCCTGAGTCACCCCCCGCCCCTCCCCGGGCAGACAGTGTGCGGAGCAGCCACTGGCAAGGGCAGCCTGTCAGACACTGGGGCCCCCCCAATCGACCCCCCTCCTTGCAGCGTAACCGTGGCAGCATTGGCTCAGGGCACTCACCTTCCCCCCTCCAAAGAGCACCGGGCTCAGGTCGTAGCCGTCCAGCGGGACACTGGGAAGAGGCACCCCGGCCAGGGCAGCCAGGGTTGGCAGGATGTCCAGGGTGCTGGCCATCTCATGGGTCACGCCTGGCACCAGGCCACGGGCACGAGGAGAAAAGTTCGGGTGCCGTCAGGCCCCAGCGATAACTCCCATCGTCCCTCGAGTACGCTGACACCCTCCTCCCCACCACCCACGCGCTCCCCCAACTCCCAGAGCCCCTCCCTCTCCCAGGAGGGCCCCCAACCTCCCGGGACAGGGGGATTCGCCCTGGGGCCTGGATCAGAGGGGCTGAGGGCAACAGCCTCCTCTGCCCAGAATTTGGGGTGCCAGGCCTACAGACACCCCCCCAGCCATAGGTACGCGTTGCCCCCCCCCCCCCCCACGTTCCCCTCCACAGGGGTGAGGCCTTTGGATCCTCTGCCCCTCCAGCTCCGCACACTCCCTGGTTATCTCCGCACGCCAAGCAGGAGTATGGGGAGGGCTGATCTCACTGGGCCCTGCACAGCCCCCCAGAGCTGTAGTTTCAGCCTGTCCATCGTAGTCTCCTCCCAGGCCGTGCGGAGACTGAGGGGCCTCCAGGCAAAGGTGGGCCCAGGTCCTGCTGTCCAGGCACCAGCACTGCCAGGCACCGCAGAGCGGCTGTGAGCAATGCCAGGCTTACCCGGGGAGATCCGGCCTGGCCAATAAGCCACCGCGGGCTCCCGCATCCCGCCCTCGTACGTCGTTCCCTTTCCGCACTTCAGGAGGCCCGAGCTGCCCCCACGGGCCATTCGCATGGTCTCGGGGCTGCGGGGAAGGGGAGAGTGCCCATCAGCGAGCACACAGGTTAACACGGCCCTGCCATGGGCGGTGCTGGCCCGGACCCGGCTGGGGGCCACGCTGCCCCTTCCCAGCCAGCTTCCTGCGGGCACCACAGCCCCACTGGGTGTCCGTAGGGAAGGGCACAGCCAGGCTGGTGGAGACCCTTGGCTCTCGGGTCCCACAGGCGGCTCTGGCCGAGGAGCGAGGCAGGCCAGGCCAGCGGTCGTCCAGAGGGAGCCTGGAGGGATGTTCATGTTCCAGCACTGGGCTGGGGATGTCCCTCGCCTGAGAAGTGGGGTGTGGGCAGGGCCTTCCCCACCCTACTGCTCCCCCCTGCACAGCCCCGAGAGAGCACAGGGAGCCGTGGGGGTGGGGCAGGGGGGGAACACGCTGAGCAGCCTTACAACTTGAAATCAGATCAACTCCATAACTTACAAGTCATTCCAAATGTCCCCCACCCTGAAGGTCCCTGTCACCCCCTGCCCTAAGCACCCCGTATCCCTGGGCCCCATCCCCACCTGCCCCCAACCCCCACAACACCCCCTGAAACCTCCACCCTCAAGCACCCCAAATCCCCCTGCCCCATCCGCCCCAAACACCCCCTGAAACCTCCTTGCTCCATCCCCACCTCCCCGCAACCTCCCCAGCACTTTTCAAATCCCCCTGCCTAATCCCCAACGCCCCCAGCACCCCTATATCCCTGAGAGTCCTGCTCCCACCCCTGACCCCACGCTCAGCCCCACAGCCTCCCATCCCTGGGCAGACGTGGCGGGGCAGGGGCGGCTCCCCAGCTCGCTCACACTCACCCATTGTCCGCGGTGAAGAAGACCAGCGTGTTCCCCTCCAGGCCGTTCTCCTGCAGTGCCTGGAGCAGGAGCCCCACTGAGCCGTCCAACTCCATGAGGGCATCCCCAAAGGGACCCCGCAGCGACTGGCCCACGTACTCCTGGCTCCCAAACTGGGGGTAGTGGGTGTGCTGGGCAAAGGAGCAGACAGTGAGAGGGGATCCCTGCAGCAGACTGCAGAGCTAGGACCAGCTACCTCTCCCAGCAGAGCTGGGGGCTGCCAGGCCGGGGAGGAAGCTGTGGGGGCTTTTCCCTTCCTCCGGGGATCAAGCGGGAGCCATTCATCGTGCTGCGGGGGGGGGGGTACAGGTGCCCCCTTGCCCTGCCCCCCAGTATCTCTAGGCCTACCCACCACCGCCCCAAGCCGTGCCCAGCCATCCCCACCACCCCTACCCCACTTACTCCCTCCCCGACACATCCAGGTGCCTGCACCTACCCTCCTGTGACGAAGCGGGACTGTTCTTAATGTTTCCTCTGAATAGTGTGGGGGTGCCTCAGTTTCCCCTAGGCAGTTCTTAAGTATCTAGGGGGTGGGAGAAGGGTGTATGATCCTTGCAGAGCCCTAGAGGGCAGGTGTGTGCAGGGGTCTGGACACAGAGAATGGCCGACACCCTGTTTCCTGGCAACTGACGGCCTGGGCCCTTCCCTCCTGCAAGGTGAGAGCTAAAGGGTTGGAGAACAAAGGAATCAGGTGACCTCCTGGCCCGGGAAAGAGACAAAGCCCAGAGGAGGGGCTGGAGGGAGTTTCAGTTTGGGGCTGGCTGGGGACATGGAGTGAAGTGCAGACGGGGTTGTCTGGCTCACTGCCCCCCAAATGGACCCAGCTGAGGGGTCCTGTTCTCTGCACCTGCAAGCTCTGTTTTAGACCATGTTCCTGCCATCTAATAAACCTTCTGTTTTACTGGCTGGCTGAGAGTCACGTCTGACTGCGAAGTTGGGGTGCAGGACCTCTGGCTTCCCCAGGACCCGGCCTGAGCGGACTCGCTGTGGGAAGCGCACGGAGCGGCAGAGGAGGCTGAATGCTCCGAGGTCAGACCCAGGAAGGGGGAAGCCGGGTGAGCTGTGTGTCCTACAGACAGGCTGCTCCCAGAGAGGAGACTTCCCCAGAGTCCTGCCTGGCTTCGTAGGGAGCAGCTCCAGAGCATCGCCCGGGGACTCTGTGACTCCTCCATCCTGGCCAACCCCGAGGTGCCCATGCCCACCCCAGGCTGCCAGCCCCAGCACCTACATGGGACGCGTAGTAGAGCAAGAAGGGGTGGCCCCGGCGGGCACAGTCGGCAATGAAGTCGCGAGAGAACTTGTTGTAGCGTGACACCAGCTGGGGGAAGGCGAGCGGCTGCTGCAGGATGCTCTGGTTTAGGAACAGCGGGACGGGCACCACGCCCTGGTCGCACGTCCCAAAGCACTTGGTGTCTGGGGGGAAGCAGGTGAGATTCTGGCAGGGGCCCTGGAGTGAGAGGAGAGAACGCTCTGCATCCCCACCTGGCAGGCAGCAGGTACCAGCCCCCCACATGAGCTCCCCCCAAGACGCAGGCACATACCCAGTGCCCCAAGGACGAGGCTCCACTCCCACCCAATGACCAGTTCGCACCCCCAAATCACTCTGGAGACTAGCACTCCTCACATATCCCCAGAGACCAGGACCCATTCCCTACAGCACCCCACAACCCAACCCTTCCCCAGGGGCCCGGACCCCATCCCACCCCCCTACAGCAACCCCTTCCCCACAGCACACCACAACCCAACCCTTCCCTAGGAGCGTGGACCCCATCCCACCCCCTTACAGCAACCTGGATTCCCTCCTTCCCCACAGCACCCCAAATCCAACGCTCCCCCAGGGGCCTGGGACTAGATCCCCCCAGCCCAGGCTGGCACGCCCCCCTCCCCCACCTCACAGGGACAAGGCCCCATTATTCCCTTTGTGCAGCACACCAGGGACTGGCCAGGCATAACCCCCCCCCCCCCCCCCGCCAGGAAATGTGAACACTTCTGGGTTATTGGCATACACTGACTCCACCAGGAAAGGGGGAGCCCAGACTGCCCCGCCCGGCCCCATATCCACCTACTCCCCAGACACTGACCCAGCCATCCCTCCCAACTCCACTCACCCAGCCCATGCCTGCCTCCAGCCACTGACCCACCCTGCCCCCCATTCACCCAGTCTGTGCCCCCCAAAGACACAGATCCAGCCTGCCTCACCCATCCCCCAAGACACTGACCCAACCATCCCTCCCAACCCCCATCCACCCAGTCCCTATTCACCCAGCGCCTGCACCCCCAAGACACAGACACAGCCTGCCTCACCCAGCACCCCATCCACCCAGCCCAGCCCCCACTCCAGAGAGATCCAGACCCTGCAAGCCCTAGCCTCCTGCCAGTCCAGCCACGCCCCCAGCACCCCATTCAGCTCCCCCTCTGACCCCCCGGCCCAGCCTGGATCCCCTCCCAGCCACCGCCAGCCTTCTGATCCAACTCCCTCAAGCACCATCCCAAATCAGCCCTCGGACCCCCAGGGCACCTCCCCCAGGCACTGTACCGATACCTTCCTGGCCCCACAACATGCTCCCAGCCCTGCAAGGGGGCCAGGACACCCCCCAGCCCTGTGCCCCAGGATGCCAGAAGCTCACCTGGTCGTGGGAGTAGGGCACCCCCAGGAAGTGGTCAAAGCCCTGGTGGATGGGCAGGAAGGAGCCATTGGCCCCCAGTCCCAGGTGCCATTTGCCGACCATGGCTGTGGCATAGCCCCGAGCCTTCAGCACTTCCGCGATGGTGACCTCGGACAGTGGGAGGCCTCCCCGGGAGCCGGGGTAGAACACGCCGGGGTAAACCCCGGAGCGTGTCTGGTACCGACCCGTCAGCAGGGCCGCCCTGGGAATGAGAGGAGCCGAGAAAAGCTGGAGCAGCCGGAGGAGTCCTGTGCCCATGCCCATACGAGCTGCCGAGCCCCCAGCTCAGCCCAGCACAGTCCCTTGGGTTGACAAGCCTCCAGCCCAGCCCTGAGCCATGGGGCTGCCAAGCCCCTGGCCAAGCCTAGGAGAAAGAAGCCTAGTTGAGCCCCTGGAGGGAGATGTTTTGTTCAGTGGTACCAACACCCCATGGCAAGGGAAGGCTGGTGCTCAGTGGGCTGACACCCCTCTCTCCCCATCCCCTGCTGAGTTCACATCCCTCCGACACAGACCCCCCTTCCCAGCTCCCTTTCTGTTCATTAACCCCCAGCCCCCGGTTGGGGCATCAGCAGAGCCTGGCGGAGCCCAGGGTTCCCGGACGCCTTCCCTGATGAGCACTCGGCTCTCAAACGCTGGCCCTAGGCCCCGGCTAGTCTGCTAGGGGATCCAGCTCCAGCTGGTCCTGGCCTCTGCCAGATCCAGGTGCCCAGCCTCGGCCACTCTGGGGCCCGTCTCCTTCTCTCAGCTTTCGAGCACACATCTGCATCCACTGCTCCTCCTCTGCTCTACAGACCATTGGTCCTGGCCACCCTCAATCTGCCCCCACCGATGATAATTCACATGGAGCGCTCTTGGGCCTTGCTCCATACCATCCCTCCATCTTCTCGTTTGTCGGCCATGGCTCAGACGCCAAGCTTGGCTGGTCTGTCAACCGTCATCCTGCCCACTGCAGCTGTTGGGAACTCGACTCTCCAAAGACCTAGTAGCACGATGTCGGGAGAAGTAGCGCTCCCTGACCGGCCCACAACCTCATCAACATTGTCCAAGTTACCTAGCTGTCTCCCTTCCTTCCTAGGAAGCGCACAGGTCTCAGCCCTATAAAACAACAGGCCTCAGAGTGTGTTCGTACGGCTAAGCTGAGCCTTTCCCAGCAGCTCTTTGGAACGGAAAATGCTCTGCAGAGATGGAGACGTCCCCATGACTTGGTTTCCTCCTCCTCCAAGTGTTATAGGAAGTACAGTTCCTAGGTACGGTACATAACCTGCCTGACTTGTTCTCTGAACTGCTAGGTAAGAGCTAGCCAAGAGCTCCTTGTCTTCTTCCAGCCAGACATTTGGTTTTACCATCACTGATCTAAAAGTCTTTTTCTTGCCACTTCTGTCACGTCTCCAGTCCCCTTTGTGCCACTTCACCTGTCCTCGTGCGACAGCCAGGCCATCTGTAGCGCCAAAGAGTCGGTGCAGACCACTGAGTCACCCACCCGTTCTGGAATCGTACCACATTTCCCGTGGCCATGTTAGAGTCCCAGGGATCACGTCTCTCCCTGCCTTAGCCCAGCACTGATGTCACAGGGATGGTATTGAACCTGCTGCTGAATGGCAAATACACAATTGGACCATCCTTATCAGAGATTACGAACAGCTGTGCTGCAGCCCACAGGCCATCCCAGGATACGCTACTGTGTGCTGCCTTCTCCTACACAGGACTATTCCCACCTTAAAATACCTCACTCCTCCCAGCACTGCCTTTCAAGCTCCAGCCCGGCTTCCTGCAGCCTGCTCCGTCGCCCTCACCCTGCCTTTCCAAATCCTGCCAGCTCCACTGTCATGCCCCACACGCTGCGCACACCCCATCTCTCCTCCTGCACCAGCTCTGTAAACTCCCCGCTGTCGTGCCCCATCTCTCCCTCTGCACCAGCACTGCAAACTCCCCACTGGCTCCACGCTGCCGTGCCCCACACGCTGCGCATGCCCCATCTCTCCTCCTGCACCAGCTCTGCAAACTCCCCGCTGGCTCCCCGCTGCCGTGCCCTGTCTCTCCCTCTGCACCAGCTCTGCAAACTCCCCACTGGCTCCACGCTGCCGTGCCCCATCTCTCCCTCTACACCAACACTGCAAACTCCCCACTGGCTCCCCGCTGCCGTGCCCCGTCTCTCCCTCTGCACCAACACTGCAAACTCCCCACTGGCTCCCCGCTGCCGTGCCCCGTCTCTCCCTCTGCACCAACACTGCAAACTCCCCACTGGCTCCACGCTGCCGTGCCCCACACGCTGCGCACGCCCCATCTCTCCCTCTGCACCAGCTCTGCAAACTCCCCACTGGCTCCACGCTGCCGTGCCCCATCTCTCCCTCTGCACCAGCACTGCAAACTCCCCACTGGCTCCCCGCTGCCGTGCCCCATCTCTCCCTCTGCACCAGCACTGCAAACTCCCCACTGGCTCCCCGCTGCCATGCCCCATCTCTCCCTCTGCACCAGCACTGCAAACTCCCTACTGGCTCCCCGCTGCCGTGCCCCATCTCTCCCTCTGCACCAACACTGTAAACTCCCCACTGGCTCCCCACTGCCGTGCCCTGTCTCTCCCTCTGCACCAGCACTGCAAACTCCCCACTGGCTCCCAGCTGCCGTGCCCTGTCTCTCCCTCTGCACCAGCACTGCAAACTCCCCACTGGCTCCCAGCTGCCGTGCCCTGTCTCTCCCTCTGCACCAGCACTGCACACTCCCCATTGTTTTCACTGTGCAATGCCCCACACGCTGCACACGCCCCATCTCTCCCTCTTCACCAGTGCCACAAACTCCCCACTAGCTCCACGCTGCCGTGCCCCAGATGCTGCTCACGCCCCATCTCTCCCTCTGTACCAGCGCTGGAAACTCACACAAATCGATCAGTTTTGGCCCCTCTCTAGGTCATCTCGCCATGGCTCAGAAGGTTCCAGCCTTCACACAATGCTGGGGAAGCAAAAACCCAAAACAACGTTGTGACGTTCTGTACCTCGTGGAACACCCTACACCCCCATGTTCATACTTATAAAATGATTGTGTGGTACCCAGTGCAAAGTTTGTCATGTCGGGTGTCTTGGGAAGGCTCATGATGCACTGAGCATGGTTGCTATAGTGATGTTATAGTAATTGTTGTTGCTGTAATGTTACAGGTTATAATTCCCTGTATATAGTTATGAGGCTGAAAATGTGCCCTCATGGCTTAAAATAAGCCCACGCAAAAACTCTCTAAGAGCAGAGGGGCAGTTCACACCTCATCAAGGCACGTATGGGACAAACCCAGCCCAGTCTCACAGGAACAAAGGACACTGGCCTAGGCAGCAGCAAAGGATCTGTTGGACTCTCAAGTGGGTCAGCCAGTGACTACAATGAGATAATGCTCACCTGACTCTGAAGGGAGTGGGGGGCAAAGCCAAGAGGGAAGAAAGGACATGATAAAAGGGAGAGACGTTTGCCATGCTCTTCCTCTCTCTTCCACCTCCATCTACAGACATCACCACCACCAAGCGACCGAAGCGCTGATCAAAGGGAAGAGCCTGGCTAAAGGGCAACCAGCCAGCCTGTGGTGAGAAGCATCTAAGTTTGCAAGGGCACTGAAGGTGTTAAAATCAGCTTAGAATGCATTTTGCTTTTATTTCATTTGACCAAATCTGATTTCTTATGCTTTGACTTACAATCACTTAAAATCTCTCTTTGTAGTTAATAACTCTGTTTCTTTATTCTACCTGAAGCAGTGCATTTGGTTTGAAGTGTGTCAGAGGCTCCCCTTGGGAGAACAAGCCTGGTACATATCAATTTCTTTCTTAAACTGAGGAACTCATATAAACTTGCAGCGTCCAGCGGGCATAACTGGACACTACAAGACGGAGGTTCCTGGGATTGTGTCTGGGACAGGAGATATTGGCTAGTGTCATTCAGTTGCACAATCCAAGGAGTGACTGACATGCCAGAGGCCGTGCGTGAACAGCCCAGGAGTGGGGATTCTCACAGCAGAGCAGGATAATGCTGGCTCCCAGAGCCAAGGATTGGAGTAACCTAGCAGATTATCGGTCCAGATAGCACCAGAGGGGAATGTCACAAGTGTCTTCTCCCCACTCTGTCCAGCAGCCTTGGGGAAAGTGCCCTAAAAACACCAAGCCCACACCCCACAAGCTCTAGTTTCTACTCTTCCCCAGAAGGCTGCGAACATTTGTCCCTTTGTGCAAGCCAAGGTGCTGTACCCTGGGGTAACTCATTCCTCCCCTTGGCACATCAGCTGACACCAGCAGATCTCCCAGCACTTTACAAAGGAGGCGGGAGCTCCATGTGAGACAGGGAAGCTGAATAACAGAGCGAGGAAGGGACTTGCCTGAGGTCACCCAGAGCCAGGAATGGAACCCAGGTCTCCTGCACCCTGGTAAGACCACCCTTCACAAGGTCCCTTCAGGCTGAGCTGGGGCTAGACTCCCCATCTCTCACGCAGCAGTCACAAGGCTCAGCCACGTGGCCACACTGTCCGTCAAGAGCAAATTAGGTGCGAATGTAACATACGCTAGGACCCTGCGGCTCAGTCACCCACTACAGAGAGTGATTTGTGACACTGCTACTTCGCTGGGGAGGCTGGCTCACTCCCTGGAGCTCCAGAGGCTCCAGGTTTCCCAGCCAGAGCTCGCAGGTTCATTCCCCGCCTCCCACACCATGCCCCAATAACCCAAATGGGGCGTCATTCCCCTGGCCTGCGCTGCTTGTAACCACTCGATCCTGCTCTGCTCCTGGAATTGACACACATAATCCCAAGACCCGACGCTCTGCTACGGCGTGCCATTCTTGTGTAACCCGCTGGCAGTGTGTGTTGTGTCTCTTGCAGGGGCTGATCCACACTGAGGGTAAGAGCCTGGTGTCCCACCTCACAATGGGAGAGGTCGGCACTGTAAATCGGAAGACCGTGGACTCAGGCCTGGCAAAAATACATACCTTGGTATGCAAGTTAGCGCCAGCACCCTAGGTGAGTATACACTGCTGAACCGTGTCCTCAGAAGGGAATCTGGGTCTTGTGCTAATACTTGTTTTACTGGTATGGTTAATGGGAGCTACCCCTTTAAGAACAGGGTGAGGCAGACCGTGAGACAGAGACATCGTATGCAGAAAAAAGAACAGGAGGACTTGTGGCACCTTAGAGACTAACCAATTTATTTGAGCATGAGCTTTCGTGAGCCACAGCTCACTTCATCGGATGCATACTGTAGAAAGTATACTGTAGCTCACGAAAGCTTATGCTCAAACAAATTGGTTGGTCTCTAAGGTGCCACAAGTCCTCCTGTTCTTTTTGCGGATACAGACGAGCACGGCTGCTCCTCTGAAACCTGTCTGTACGCAGGAAGAGAACGCTGCCTGGACGAGCTTCAGGCTGTGACACTTTTCCTTCCCCGAAAACAGCCTCATTCCCCAGGTGTGACGCTAGCAGCGCTGCGGCCTGGCTGCCTTGGGCTTTGCTCATGAGCTGCACAGATGCCCAGCTGGAGCGCACCAGCCTGAATCCAGCCCAGGAGAAATTTACAGCTGTTCCCGCCTACGGGGCGTGGATGGAAATGAGCTGGAGTTCTGTTTCCCAAGTCTCTCTCTCTCACGCACCCCCCATTCTTTGCAATGAACTGCGAACTCTTGAGGCAGGGACCGTATGCGTCTGTCCGATGTCTGGCATAAGGGGGCCCCAATCTCAGCCAGGTCCTCAAGTGAGAACTCCTGCGGCGAGGGCCAAAGCCGCCGCACCCTACAGCTCCACCTGTCAGACACACACTGGGGGAGGAGGTCAGACAATTTAACCTTTTAAACAATTTCACAGTCTCAAGGCTGGCTGCGTGGCTGTTCGCTCACACAGTTGCTGCCATCGGGGCGGACGTGCAGCTGCCGGCTCCCCCGATCCTGTCTCTGTCACCCACAGACATTATCATCAGGCCGTTTATCCCACTCCTGCAGTTCAGTGGGGGGGACATCAGACCGCCCCTGTGGCCCCCAATTCAATTCCCTGCTGTTTCTCAGTGCTCTGCCTTCAGAGACCACCAGCCAGTTTACCGCTCTGTCCTGGGAGGGGCTGCAGACTGGGGAGCGGGACAAAGCTGGACCTACCGTGAGGGGCTGCAGATAGGGCAGCTGGCATAGAAGTCGGTGAATCTCAGGCCGCTGGCAGCCATCTTGTCCAGGTTGGGCGTGGCTGAGGTGGGGTGCCCATAGCTTCCCAAATCTCCAAACCCCAGGTCATCTGCCAAGATTAACAGGATGTTGGGAGGGCTGGTGGCTGCAGAGAGCAAGACCAGCAGGCCCAGGGGACAGAGGAACCAGACGCCCGCCCACCTCATGTCCCCAGAGGCCCCCCGAGCGTGGACGGGACTCTGTCTCAGCCGGCCCTGCTCTGCTCATCCGATGCCCCCAGCTGCCCGCTGGCCCGGGCAGGGCCGCTCCGCCCAGGACCTGCCGGAGAAAACACAGTTTAGCACCCAGCCAAGTCTGCACGACGCGCGGGATGATGTCAGCGAACGGCTTTGAGCAGCAGCAGCCTTCCCCCCGGTCCCGGCAGCCAGAGCAGCAGGGCCCCGGCCCCACAGCTGGGCGCGGAGCAGCCGTTCTCAGGCTGCCAGGGGGCTCAGGAGGCTCCCCCCGCCGGGCGCGAGACCCAGGGCAAAGCGGGGCAGGGGGCGGGGCCGGAGCGAGGGGCGGGAGCGAGGGGAGGAGAGGGAATGGGGCCGGAGCGAGGGGCACCGCAGGGGCGGGGCAGGGGGGAGGGGAGGGGAGGAGAGGGAATGGGGCTGGAGCGAGGGGAGGGGCGGGGCAGGGGGAGAGGGCGGGGCCGGAGCGAGGGGCAGGGGGGAGGGCAGGGGCCGGAGCGAGGGGCAGGGGCGAGGGGGGGGGCGGGGAGGGGCAGGGGGGGGGGCGGAGCAAGGGGCGGGGGGGGGGGGGGTCGGAGCGAGGGGCGGGGGCGGGGCAGGGGGGGGCGGAGGCGAGGGGGCGGGGCGGGGGGAGAGGGGCGGGGGGGGGGCGGGGGCGGAGCGATGGGCGGGGGGCGGGGGCAGGGGGGAGAGCAGGGGAGGGGGCTGGAGCGAGGGGCAGGGCGGGGGGAGAGAGGGGCCGGAGCGAGGGGGGCAGGGGAGGGGGGAGAGGAGGGGAGGGGGGGCCGGAGCGAGGGGCGGGGGCAGGGGGGGGGGGGCAGCGGGGGAGGGGAGGGGAGGGGGCCGTAGCAAGGGGCAGAGCAGGGGCAAGGGAGGGGAGAGGGTGGGGGGGCAGGAGGAGGGAGGCGGGGCAGAGGAGGGGGAGGGGAGGGGAGGGGCAGGGGGGAGGGGCGGGGCAGCGGGGGGGGGGAGGGGAGGGGGGCAGGGGCGGGGGCAGGGGGGGGGGAGCGGGGGGAGGGGAGGGGGGGCCGGAGCGAGGGGCGGGGGGCAGGGGGGCGGGGGCAGCGGAGGGGAGGGGGAGGGGAAGGGGGCCGGAGCGAGGGGCAGAGCAGGGGCAAGGGAGGGGAGAGGGTGGGGCCAGAGCAAGGGCGGGGCAGAGGGGAGGGGGGGCGAGGGGCGGGGGCGGAGGGGGGAGGGGCAGGGCAGCGGGGGAGAAGAGGGGGCCGGAGCGAGGAGCGGGGCAGGGGGGAGGGGGAGCGGAGGGTGCCGGGGGGGGAGGGGCGGGGAGGGGGGGGGGCGGGGGAGGGGCCGGAGCGAGGGGCAGGGAGGGGGGAGGGGAGGGGCCGGAGCGAGGGGCGGGGGGGGGGGGGGGGGGCCGGAGCGAATGGCAGGGCGGGGGGAGGGGAGGGGCCGGAGCGAGGGGCGGGGGGGGGGGGGCCGGGCCGCCCTTACCGGCCCCGAGCCTCCTGGGGCAGCCGCTCTACGCCGCGCGCCGCCGGCCGTCACGTGGGGGAGTCACGTGTTCCCGAGGCGGACTCCCTTAAAGCGGCCGCGCGCGGGGCAGGCGAGATCCGGGGGCGGGGGCGGGGGCGGGGGCGGAGCCGGGCCGGGGGGGCGGGGCTCCCGGGGCGGGGGCGGGGCCGGAGAGGGGGCGGGGCTCCCGGGGCGGGGGGCACACACCCATCCCAGCTGTGCCATGGAACAGGCGTGTGCGTCCCCCGTGGGCCGGCCGAGGGGCCCGGCCTGCTGCGGGTCGGCTCTTCGCCCTTCGCGGCACCCCCCGCGCCCGTTCCCCCGCGCCCGCTGCAGCCCTGGCCAGCGGCACAGCCGCCGAGATTTCCCCGGCGCCGGGCCCCGCACTCGCCCCCCGGGCCACAGGCTGCTGTGACCACAGAGCGCTGTACGGGGCAGCGCCTGCCGCAGACCCAGCCGCCACGCCGGGCACCTGCCGGAGCACGCCCCGCACGCCACGCCCACGCCCGACTACCCCGAGCACGCCACGCCCCGCACGCCGGAAAGCTCACGCCCGCACGCCGGAGCACGCCAACGCCCCCTGCACGCCCACGCCCGCACGCCGCCCCCACCACCCCGCACGCCGCACGCCCCCCGCACGCCGACTACCCCGCACGCCGGAGCACGCCAACGCCCCCCACGCCGACTACCCCGCACGCCGGAGCACGCCACGCCCGCACGCCGACTACCCCGCACGCCGGAGCACGCCCACGCCCCGCACGCCGACTACCCCGCACGCCCCGCACGCCCACGCCCCGCACGCCGACTACCCCGCACGCCGGAGCACGCCAACGCCCCGCCACGCCAACTACCCCGCGATGCCACGCCCCCGGACACGCAACGCCCGCCCGCCAACGCCCCGCACGCCGACTACCCCCCGCACGCCGGAGAAACGCCGCCGCCCCCCCGCCGGTACGCCCGCCACGCTGAGCACGCCACGCCACGCGCCCCCACGCCAACGCCCGCCCGCCGCACCCCGCACGCCAACTACCCCGCCCGCCACGCCACGCCCCCGCCCCCACGCCCCCCCGCCAACCCCCACGCCGACTACCCCGCACGCCAACGCCCCCACGCCGACTACGCCCGCCCACGCCGACGCCCCGCACGCCCCGGGCACGCCACGCCCCGCACGCCGGAGCACGCCCACGCCCCGCACGCCCACGCCCCCACACGCCGAACTACCCCGCACGCCGGGCACGCCACGCCCCCACGCCAACTCCCCGCACGCCGGCCGACGCTACCCCGCACGCCAACGCCCCCCCACGCCAACTACCCCGCACGCGCCAACGCCCCCCACGCCCGCCGCACGCCACGCCGCCCCGCACCCTACCCCGCACGCCGGGCACGCCAACGCCCCCACGCCAGACTACCCCGCACGCCGGCACGCCAACGCCCCCGCCGACTACCCGCACGCCAACGCCCCCCACGCCGACTACCCCGCACGCCGGAGCACGCCAACGCCCCCACGCCAACTACCCCGCACGCCACGCCACGCCCCCCACGCCGACGCCCCCCACGCCGGGCACGCCAACGCCCCCCACGCCGACTACCCCGCCGCCACGCGCTGAGCACGCCAACGCCCCGCCCGACTACCCCGCACGCCGGGCACGCCAACGCCCCCCACGCCGACTACGCCAACGCCCCCCACGCCAACGCCCCGCACGCCGACGCCCCCCACGCCGACCCCGCTTAACGCCCCCGCACGCCAACGCCCCCCACGCCGACGCCCCGCACGCCGACTACCCGCACGCCCACGCCCCGCCACGCCAACTACCCCGCACGCCGGAGCACGCCAACGCCCCGCACGCCCAACGCCCCGCACGCCGCCCCGCACGCCGCTAACGCCCGCACGCCAGCACGCCACGCCACGCCAACGCCCCGCACGCCGGAGCACGCCAACGCCCCGCACGCCGACTACCCCGCACGCCGGAGCACGCCAACGCCCACGCTGACACGCTAACGCCCCCGCACGCTGGAGCACGCCAACGCCCCGCACGCCGACGCTTCCCGCACGCCCCGCACGCCAACGCCCCCACGCGCCGAGCACGCTAACGCCCCACGCCCACGCCACGCCCCCACGCCGACGCCCGCCGAGCACGCCAACGCCCGCTAACGCCCCCCACGCCGGAGCACGCCAACGCCCCACGCCAACGCCCCGCACGCCCCAACGCCGAGCACGCCAACGCCCCGCACGCCGGAGCACGCCAACGCCCCGCACGCCAACGCCCCCACGCCGGGCAGCCACGCCAACGCCCCAACGCGCCCCCACACGCTAACGCCCCCCACGCCGCTAACGCCCCCCACGCCGGAGCCACGCTAACGCCGACGCAACGCTGAGCACGCCCCACCACGCCCCACGCCACACGCCAACGCGCACGCCGGAGCACGCCAACGCCCCCGCACGCCAACGCACGCCACGCCCGCACGCCAACGCCCACGCCCCACGCCAACGCCCCCACGCCGAGCACGCCAACGCCTCGCCCCCACGCCGAACGCCCCGCACGCCGAGCACGCCAACGCCCCCAACGCCACGCCAACGCCCCGCACGCCAACGCCCCGCACGCCGGAGCACGCCAACGCCCCCACGCCCAACGCCCGCACGCCGAGCACGCCAGCACGCCAACGCCCCCACGCCGAGCACGCCCCACGCCCGCACGCCAACGCCCCACACGCCGAGCACGCCAACGCCCCGCACGCCAACTACCCCGCCGCACGCCGGAGCACGCCAACGCCCCGCACGCCAACGCCCCCCCACGCCGCGCTGGAGCACGCCAACGCCCCCCGCACGCCAACGCCTCCGCACGCTAACGCCAACGCCCCCACGCTAACGCCCGCACGCCGAGCACGCCAACGCCCCCACGCCAACGCCCCGCACGCCGGAGCACGCCAACGCCCCCGCACGCCAACGCCCCCACGCTAACGCCCCCACGCCAACGCCCCCACGCCGCTGAGCACGCCAACGCCTCCACGCCAACGACTACCCCGCACGCCGGAGCACGCCAACGCCCCCCACGCCAACGCCCCGCACGCCAACGCCCCGCACGCCGGAGCACGCCAACGCCCCCCACGCCAACGCCCGCACGCCGAAGCACGCCAACGCCCCGCACGCCAACGCCCCGCACGCCAACGAGCACGCCAACGCCCCCCACGCCAACGCCCCGCACGCCGGAGCACGCCAACGCCACGCCAACGCCCCGCACGCCAACGCCCCGCACGCCAACGCTAACGCACGCTGAGCACGCCAACGCTACGCTAACGCCAACGCCCAGCACGCTAACGCCCCCGACGCTAACGCCCCGACACGCCAACGCCGCACGCTAACCCGCACGCCAACGCCCGCAACGCCGACGCTAACGCCTCGCACGCTGAG